TTCGAACCTTGAGGAATATACCATTACCATTTGGAGAGGGTGACAACTAGACCACTTCACTAAGGCGCCACACCTCTTATATACATTTATATATATGCATAATATAATATAATATAATATAATATATATAAATATATATATATTTGACCTGTGGGTTGATAGCATAGTGGTTATGCTCCTAGGTTACAAATCGGATAGTTGCCGGTTCAATTCCTCCTAACGGCGGATTAATGAAAATTCGAAAACAGAAGTGAAACACTGCGGGGTACAGAGAACCTGGGATATCTATAGATAGATGTATTCAGGAAATAGTTATTCTGAGAAGTTTTGGCTGTGAAGCAAGGCGTGTTAGAACCCCGATTTGAAATAACCAAAGTCACGAGACATAATGTGAGGCCGAAGTCTGATAAAGATACTACAAGAACCTGTGGTGACACCAGAATGGCTGGTAAAATCCCAGTACAATAGAAAGGTGATTCGACCTCTCCAGAGTGTCGTGCAGGCGGTCAGATCTAGGCCCAATAAGGGAATCAGAGAATGTCGGGCAACAGAATACCAGGTAGATATATATATATCTATATGGGGTTATAGAGGTCCCGTGACCCTAAGTAGCATGTGTACTAGGGTCATCTATATAATAGTTGGTACCAAAGTCACAGTGAGACTTGCCGAAGAATTAAAAATATATATATATATATATATATATATATTATATATATAATATAATATATAATGAAATATATATTATATAATATATATATTTTATATATATATATGTTTACGTATAATAAAAATAATATTCAGGGATTATGAAAGAATGCAAACTGGCTTAGGGCAGTGCAAACTCTCAACAAGTCCAAGATTGTGTAAATCTTAGAAATCTCTTTTGCGTACAGGAATCTGCTTGGGAAGTCCCGAATTAGGATTAGTGGCTAACTTTCGACAGTACTACAGAGTAAAGACTATATTGGGAACTCAACTAGAGGCCTGACGATCATGACCCTTATAGGTGGAGTTACACCAACCTGGCTATTGGAGTATAAGGGAACTCTTCAGGCTAACTAAATTGGAAAAGGGATGTCTCTAAAGCTGAACCTATGTGTAAGGAAATGTCAGTACTGGGGTTGGTTATGAACCAAATAAAAGCAGAAGTAAAGTAATGAAGGACTAATTAGGAAGGTTGTACTTGAGATATGGATTGTGTTATGGCAGCATCCCAAAAAATGGCTTGAGATATGAACACAATGGCAGCAGACAATATGTACTAATTAGGAAGTAATTACCGAATAAGCATGCACTATCATGTGTGAGACATGTAATGCGATATCAGGTTTATCTCGAGGATAATCAAAGATAGGCCTAAGGCAGGTTGTAATATATATATAGTTAAATCATTGTAAATACTACTAACCCTGATTTAACTATAATAAAATTCACCGACCAAAGAGGTCACCTTAAAGATAAAAAAATAAAAAAAAAATAATATATACTATATATTATACTTACTATACTTATTATTATTATATATATATAAAACATATGACATAATTAAAATGTAAAAAATAAAAAATAAAAAAATAAAAAATTAATTAATAATCAAATAATAATAATGAATATAATGTGAATATGAACTCTTTCCAATAATCATTTGTACCAAAAATCTAAACACATTTTTAGTTAAAAACAAAATAACGCTTGTAAAAGTGGAGGGTATACTAGCAGCTATAAGTCAGCAGTTGTTATTTAGAGGTAGTTCTCATATGCTACCTGCTAACTTTCTCAGAGTTTATCACTCACCATTTGCATGGCACTTGTTGTTTAGAAGTAGTTCTCATACACTACTTGCTGACAAGCCCAGAGTTTATTACTCACTGCACAAAGAAGGTATAGGTGCCTCACCCCTTTCCTAGAAGAAGGTTTAGATGTTGTTGAGTCTTTACATAGATGTAACTACTGTCTTTGGGTGCAAGTGGTCTCTCCCTAGGTGTTTTTCACTTGGCCGGTCTTCTCCTAAATTTTCGATAAAAAGTGGGCGATTTGGCTTACCCCTCCAAAAGATTGGCAATATTTACCTACCAAATCAGAAGTATCCAGGAATGCAGCCACGTGCTTTGTTTATCAGTGGATACAATTTGCGATGTAGTCTATGGATATGGGACTTCCACATGACTGGGATCGGGTCTCTAGTAGTGTCCGGAGGTGGTTGGTAGTCGGATAATAACTTTATAGTTGAGATATACAAATATTGCAGTTGTTATAAAATTTTTTCTTAAATCTGGCATGGGTTATAATAGTGTATTTCTCCTTTCTTCATTATATTTATACTACTTCTTGATAGAGGTAGCTCCTCCTTTGTTGGCCCTAGGGCTTTTCTTTTTGTTTTTCTTTTTTTATATTTCATTGTACCCCCTTTTATTTTTTTTCCTTTAAAAATTCTCTTTCATTTTATTTGTTTTTTTTAGTTAGTTTTTCATTTTGTTTTCTTAATACTATCAGTGGTTTTGTATTGTTATGAGATTATCACTTTCTTATGCTCTCAGTAAAGAAAGAGAATATGAAGAGAAAAGCTTTGACGGGCTAACAAAGTTTATTTAACTTGTATACAGATTGGTGCGACAAGTTGCATGTAGGCACGTTTATCGCAGCCAGGTGATGTCAGGCTCGCAATTACGAGACATATTGTTTTGGTTATGAATAATAATGTATTGTTTGAGAGAGTTTAACTCCCACCTTAATGAGTCTTAATAAATTGAGCACTGGCAAAACTGTCAAAGAATTAAAAAAAAAAATAATAATAATAATAATAATAATAATAAAAAACAAATATAAATAGCTAAAGGAATAACAATACAAACAAATTTGTGCTATATATCCATTCCATATAAAAAAAAACACCTTGAACACCTAACTATTTCAATAAAAAAAAAATATTCACTGTACTTAAAACACACTCAAAAAAAAAAAAAAAATGCCTATCCATGCTTCAATCGTCGTATTCACAACTACAAAAAATAAAAATAATCAATTTACACAAGGCATGGTACAATACCAGCTCTCTGAAAATACTTTTGAAACCGTACACTAGAAACATTTAACTCAACAAATAAAATTTGTTATAGAAAATTCGGAACAATTCATCACAATTGTCTCGGCTACAATAATAAATAAAAAAGATTCAAAAGACGAATTTAATGCTGAAATTATTCTACTCAATACCCCACACTTAATGTTCATTGCAACAGTCACCAAAGAATTAAAAACTTCAGGTGAAACTACCCATTACAAAGTAGAAATATAAGAATATAACTCCTGTTTTGCAAATCGCAATATTTATATGTCTATTACTATTTATTACTTGATACAACACAGTAGGTTTAACAACCTACGTGCCAACATTAAAATCAACAAACCCTTAATAGTATCTGGGTTCTTACACATAATCAAAACAACTGTTACCATGGTAGAAGCAATAGATATTGACTATCTCAGACAAGAGAACAGTTATAACACAACCAAAAACCCCCTCCAAACAACTACACAAGCATTTACAGAATTAGATCAAATAGCCAATGAGATAAATGTTAAAACACCTTCAACAACACAAAAGAAAAGCAAGCCAGTCGACCCAAACATATCTAAAGAAAAAGAGCTTAATTCAACTGACAAAGATGATGAAATAATTTCAAACAAAAAACAAAAGGAATCATACAACCACGATAAAGCTAACAATAATAAACAAAAACAAAAATTTCAAACAAAAGATGAAATAAAATCAGCACAAAATAAAAATAGAAAAGGTAAAAGAAAAATATATCAACAAGATAATAATTAAGAAAAGCTCAATCAAGAATCTGATACATAAGACAACCAAAATAAAAAATTAAATGAAGATGAAATCAAAGAAAAAACAGAACCAAAAAAAGTGAGAATGAGAAGAAGATAAATACCCAACTTAAATAAAAATAAATAAACGAAAAACCGCCAAAAAAAAAAAAAAAAAATCTTACACTTTTTCAAAACAGTGCTTCTTTTTTCTATTTGAACTATTTTTTTTATTAAATTAAAGAAACTAACAGTAAATAAAAAAGAATTTAAATAACATTATTATAAATACTTAGCATAGCTATATGTAAATAAACTAAAAACTTTTTAGCAATAAATAAAAAAACATCAATTCATAACCAAATATTATATAATTACATAATACAATTACTAAAAAATATAACAACATTCAATAATACTAGGCTATAATATAAAGTTTCAAAATATAATTATCTTAAAAAGTAAAATAATAATAATAATAATAACAATAATATAAATATATATACATCCGAAATACAAAACTAACAAACCTTACAAGCCTAATCAAATATATAACAATTTTATAAAACAATAATTAAATTAATAATAATAACTTAAAACAATAATAACCTTAAGAATAAATATTCATATAACAAATAATTTCCAATACAATAAAAACAAAAACAATTATAAACAGCCTGATCTAAAATTATAATATTCACGACAACAATTCAAAAAAAAACTCCAATAATAACCTCTTTTTAGCTTAAAAACTATTAAACATAAAAATTAAATTACAAAAAATATTAAAAAAAAAATAAATAAAAAACAAAAACTAATCAAATATATATATATTAAACCCAAACTACAAACTATTTTAAAACTAACACTAATAAAACTTTAAACAATAACATAATTATAACCATGTTCCCTAAAGGGCGCCAGCGGTGCCCCAAAAACACTTGTAATTTTATAATTTTGGCCAAAATTATAAAATTATATAATAATAAAATCTTTAAATTTGAATAACTTTTAATCTACTAGGCCTATTTAGATGATTTAACTACTAAAATAATCCTCTCAATGAGAGGGTTTTAACAAGCCCAAAATAATTAAAATACAATTACAAAATAACAAAATAGATAATATTTTGTATTATTATATATATATTTAAATAATACAAAAAATTATCTATTTTATGTTCTTGTAATCAGATTTTAATAATTTTGGGCTTGTTAAAATTCTCTGATTGAGAGAATCATTTTGGTAGTAAATTCATCCAAATTGGTTCAATAAAACAAAAATTATATCAGTTTGAAAATTTTTATTAATTAATACTATTTAAAATTTTTATATAATTTGATTGGCTAATAAAGTATCAGGTGTTGATGAGTAGAAATAAAATTTTGAAATTTATTAATAACAAAATATTATATAATTTCTGGAAGCCCCTTATCTGCTAATTTTTAAAATTAATTACTATATTTAATATTTTTATATTATAATCCAACTCTTGAGGTATCTGTATAAGAAAACTGATAGCTTTAAATTCTTTTTAAATTTTATCTAATTTTATATAGTAGTTTTGAGTTACCTTATATGATATTTATGCTTAAAAAAACTTTTTTCTTAGATAAATTATCAAATTTTTAATAAAAGTTATAAAGATAAGTTTGCTAATTTCAAATATAAAATTTCTTTGAAATTAAACCAATATATAAGAAATAATTTAAATTTGAAGTTTTTACTAATATTTACTTTTTTTTTTTGTTAAAAGGTGAGGTCTTGCTTATATCTTTATTAAGTAATTTATATAAGTAATCATAAAGAAACAAAACTAAATAAAGGCTTAATTTATATATAAATGAATAAATATAAACTACATGCAAGAATAAAAGCTCAAACTAATTTATTTGTAATCTAAACCTACTAGAGTGGTCAAAGCTCATCTAGATTTGAATAGTTAATATATAATTAGTAGGAATACTAAATTGAATCTACAAAGTGGACCAGATATTAAATTTGAGTTTAGCAAGCCCAGCTGGGGGCAAAAAGAGAAGTCAGAATATAATTGATCAGATAAGTTACATAGACAGTTGTATGTAAAAGTATGACAAGTCCTAGTATAGAGGCAAGTAGGAGATTGTTGACTAACTTGAATAGAGGTAGAGTTTGATAATATTTGATGTATTTTTTTCTAAATAGAAAAGTTGATACAGTATGATTTCTATATTTGTTTATAAATTTGATTAGAAATTTTGATAAGAATTTTGATAATGAGCTAAGAAGCTATTGAATAAGATATGTTAAATAATACTATGCATTGGATAAGTGGGAAAGAAATAAGATCTTTAAAAGTAGAATAAAGAGAATATGAATAGAGGGTAGAAGAATAAAAGAAGAATGAAAAGTAAGATGAAATTGTATAAATTAAGTAGTTAAGTTGATGAGGGACAAGATCAAGATTGGTGTTCAAAATAATTTCTAAAATAGAGGAATTAATAATTTGGAATAGGATAGAAGATTATAGTAAGAACAAGAGTACCAATAAAAAAGAAAGTCATGAAAAAATTGTATTAAAAATAGTTAGAAGATGGGAATAAGTTAGAAGATATAGAGTAGAAATAGAAATGTGTAGATAGACTATTAAGTAACATTTTAATTTTAAAAGATTTAAAGTGATTAAGCTTAGGATTAGTAAAATTGTGTGAACAGTTATGATTATTGTTAAAGTAAAGCCATGTAGAATTCCAGTCAATAAGGTTGGAAAAGTGTGACTATTTATTAGTATGTCTTTGGGAGGACTATATAGAAATAGTCTGAGTATTGTAGATATTTTTAATAAAGCATCTAGAAGGGCTATTAATCGAGAAATTTTTTTATTTTTTTATTTTTTTTTTTGGTATTAAGGTGACCTCTTTGGTCTGGAGAACTTTTTATTGGAGTATAGATGAAGTTTTATATGTAATTACAACAATGGTATATCAAGCCACACGTGCACCTTTTGAGTGCCTATTTAAGTAGTCTGCCCGAAGGTTCTACACTATCTGCTGTATCTGCACCCCAACTAGGGGGGTACCCATTTAAACTATCTGGTTCTAACTACCTCCATCAGCCCTCTAACCCAATGGGTTTCCTCACTATTCATACG